GTGGTTCTGGAGGAATGTTTGACTTTTGCAGTCAACCCTAGATTGCTCAATCAATAAAGCAAGCAAAATTGTTCAATCAACCAAACCAAGATGCGAAATTTGAAATGATGAGTTTTTCTTAGCTCCCAACATTTTTTTTCAAATAATGTTCAAGTTTATTATATGTACCAGTCAAACGCAGATTTTAAAAAATCACATGAGCGTTATTCCTCCTTATTTTTCCAATTTTATTTTACATGTATTTCAGGTTTTGTCAACAGCACTTATCATTCAAGTAGGTGATGTGATGAATCGTACAACCAGATTTCATTACCGTCAATAAAACTGACTTTATTGCTGTTATTTGACCAAGTACGAGTTCTTCATTTTTAAAACAACAAAAATTTATTGTTCGTACATGTTTAAGTTCATACTAGCGAGATAGTTAATCTTGGCGACGAGGCATCCAATCGAAATAGTCAATAATGACCAGCCACAAGCTATCTCTCCAATGTTTCACTATAAATATACATCTCTTCCTGATGCCAATACCTCACAAACAAAACATTGCAAAGAAAGTGATATCTTATTCAGAGAGGAAAAGTTTGCATATTAAAACAGAAAGCAAGGATGTCATCTGAGTGTCAAGGTAATGAACAAGTTCTTCTGTACGATTACAGATGCCACTAATATAAGCAAAATTACTTGTATGGTGTCTTTAGTCCGCAAGTTTTAATTTTTGAGTTCATATATATGCAGGTAAGGATACATGGCCTGAACTTCTGGGAGCTCAAGGGACTGATGCAGAAGCAACAATTGAGAGGGAGAATTCTTCGGTTGATGCTCAGATCGTGCTAGAAGGGACTGATGTCACTAAAGATTTCCGGTGCGAAAGGGTTCGCGTTTGGGTTAATACTGATGGCATTGTTACAAGGGTCCCTACAATTGGTTAAATTAGACTCCAAGGACTTCACATCAGGGTGGTTTGAAGAAATTTACCTGAAATAATAAAATAAGGAGTTCTATTCTCCATGCATTTGTATAATTGTTTTCGAACATAATTTGTTTTTCTTTCTATGTATTCTATATGAAGCTAATAACAACGGTTTGATAAAGTTGACAGTAACTTATCTTCTTCTCTTCAATTAGTAATTGTTTCTGCTCAACCAGTAAAATAATAAGTAGGCATGGGTTGGAAATTGGCTTTCTATTTTGGTGTTTGGAATACCACTCAATCTTTAATCCATGTCCATCAACGAAGGCTCTAAAATTCATCTATAGATGCAATACAGCTAAACCCAGTTGGGAAACAAAAAGAAAATAAAATGATTGCAAAATCAAGAGGCTACTGCCAAACTGAAACTTATTTTTTTTCAGCCAAACGAAGTGCTCTGCTAAAAGAAAACATCATTTACCAAATATTGTACTGTTATGCACTAAAATTTCTTTGGGGAGGGACAACCTCACGAAAACCCTATGAGTCATCTGCAACGCATAAACGATGATCAGTTCCATCAGCCATCACACTATCTATCATGTTATACTTCTTATAACAATCCTTTTATAATATTATTCATGGTCATGTCATTTAATATATATACATGTAATTAATACAATTATTTTTTTAGTTCTAAATTAATTCATGTAATGCATATGCAGGTAAGTATGTATTTCCTGAGCTGTTGGAAGTTGGGGTGGGGGGGCAACAATTGAGAGGGAGAAATCTTCGGTCAACATTGAGGTGGTGGTGGAAGGAACCATTGTCCCCCCAGATTTCGTATGCATACCTGATAGGGTTCGTGTTTGGGTCGACACAGATGGTTTGGTTACTAGTCCTGTAATTGGTTAATTATATTATTATTAATATGTTATGCAAATAAGGAGTTGTAATATACTCCATGCATTATTTGGGTTGGAAGCTGTCAGTTTATTTTTGTTATCTCAATGTATTCTGTGTGAAGCTCAGTACATATAAGAGTGGTTTGATAAAGTTGACAGTAGTTTTCTTTTTCTCCTTTCTTCTTCTTTCTGTTCAACCGCAGTAAAGGTAAAGCTCAATGTACAACAGCTTTACTCTTCAAAACATTGAAAATGGCGATAAATAAATCTCTTTACAAAGGCTAGCTAGTAATAATTGTAAACAAAAGCCAATGGGATTGATTCTCTGTGCTGCAAGCCAATTAGCCAATTTTTCAGGGGAAAATTACAATAAAAATTTGATATTTTAACAGGTTTCACCACCCAAGTAAACTAGAGTACATGAAATAGGCGTCTGCATGACCCGATGAGGACACCAGACACAAAAGTGTGGTTGAGTCTCACCCCCATGGCAAATAATTGTGGTTCAAACAGAGAAAAGACCTGCTCTTGAGATTACTTGCTGAGAACCCACAAATCCAAGTGTTGACTGAAAAATAAAAATTCTGGGGGCAAAACAGAAGTGACGATTTGATTAGCCTTGAGTCTCAAGACAGAATTGCAGTTGGGGCTGGCTGTGTTTGAAACTAAAACCAGTGAAGCACTGAAATAACACTATGAATAATTAAACAACAATTCTAAAAGCTAATGTTAGTGTTTCATCGATTTAAAGCTAGTGCACTGATCCTGCTATAAAAATAAGTTGCTGAAAATTGATTATTTCAAGAGGGGATTAAATGTTTCAAACCAATGGGTCCAATTTGATGAGTTAAACAGTTTTGTGCCTAGCTAGCTCCAGCATGATATTAGCGGCAGCAAAAGCCCTTCTCGTGCTCATGCCAGACCTTAAACTAGTCCAATATAATTGTTCTGCTTGAAAACTGAAACAAAAGAAAAAAATTAAGATATGGAGAAAATGTTTGACTTTTGTAGTCAACCCTAGATTGTTCAATCAACTTATAAAGCAAGCAAAATTGTTCAATCAACCAAACCAAGATGCGAAATTTGAAATGATGACTTTTTCTTAGCTCCCAACATTTAAAAAAAAAAAATAATGTTCAAGTTGATTACATTACCAGTCAAACACAAATTCTTATTTAAATCACATGAGCGCTATTCCTCCTTTTTCCAATTTTATTTTACATGTATTAATATTTCAGGTTTTGTCAACAGCACTTATCATCTAAGTAGGTGATGTGATGAATCGTACAACCAGATTTCATTACCGTCATAGAACTGACTTTATTGCTGTTATTTGACCAAGTACTATTTCTTCATTTGTATAACAACAACAAACTTATTGTTCGTACATGTTTAAGTTCATACTAGCCAGATAGTTAATCTCTTGGCGATGAAGCATCCAATCGAAATAGTCAATGATGACCAGCCACAAGCTATCTCTCCAATGTTTGACTATAAATATACATCTCTTCCTGATGCCAATACCTCACAAGCAAAATATTGCTAAGAAACAGATAGATTATTATTCAGAGAGGAAAAGTTTGCATATTAAGATAGAAAGCAAGGATGTCATCTGAGTGTCGAGGTAATGAACAAGTTCTTCTGTACGATTACAGATGCCACTAATATAAGCTAAATTACTTGTTATGGTGTCTTTAGTTTATAGGCTGTAAGACTTTATTATTTTGTTCATATATATGCAGGTAAGAATAGATGGCCTGAACTTCTGGGAGCTCAGGGTACAGTTGCAGAGGCAAAAATTGAGAGGGAGAATCCTTCAGTTGATGCTCAGATCGTGCCAGAAGGGTCGGTTGTCACTGCTGATTTCAGGTGCGATAGGGTTCGTGTTTGGGTCGATACTGAGGGCATTGTTACAAGGGTCCCTAGTATTGGTTAGTTTAGACTCAGGACTTCACTTCAGGGTGGCCAGTTCTGTTTTAGCAGGACTTGAAGAAATTTACGTGAAATAAGGAAATAAGGAATTCTATTCTCCATGCATTTGTATAATTGTTTTCGAACATAATTTGTTTTTCTGTCTATGTATTCTATATGAAGCTAATAAGAACGGTTTGATAAAGTTGACAGTAACTTATCTTCTTCTCTTCAATTAGTAATTGTTTCTGCTCAATCAGTAAAAATAAGTAGACATGGGTTGGAAATTGGCTTTCTATTTTGGTGTTTGGAAAGCTCCACAGTTACCACTCAAGCTGTAATCCATGTCCATCAATGAAGCCTCTAAAATTCATCTATAGATGCAACACAGCTAAACCCAGTAGTATATTTATTTATTTAATTATAAAATGACTGCAAAATCAAGAGGCTACTGCCAAACTGAACTTTTTTTTTCAAGCCAAATGAAGGTGCTTTACTAAAAGAAAACATCATTTACTAAATATTTTATTGTATACAAATGCACTAAACTTTCTTGGGGGAGGGACAACCTCAAGAAAACCCTATCAGTCATCTGCAACACGCGAACGATGAGCAGTTCCATCAGCCACACACTATATCTATCATATATACTTGTTATAATTTGCTTTAAGGGCCTCATTCTGCTGCTTTGCAAGCTTGTCTTCTTCTTGCATTGCTGGATCAAAAATGCAGCTTTAGCAGCATGCTTTTAAGTTACCAAAATTTTACAAATTATATTAAGATTTCAATCCGATTACAGTATTGAAAAATCCTGACCACTTCTTCTATCAGTAAATTTTAGCCCCCTGTTATGAAAAATCATGATTCCGCCCTTGCCTGACCCATTTTAGAAAAACATTGATGAACTTTCTAAGTAGAGATATACGGCTTCCCCTGCTAAAAGTCTCATCCCAGCTCATTTCACCCATTTCCTGGCTTCTTCAGCCCACCCCAATAATCCCATCCTAGTTCTGTCAAAGCCTGTCATCTAAGTTGGTGGATTGTACAAATGACTGTTGTTGTTGGAAATTGCACGTGTGTATCTACTGACCAAAATACTATTCTTCATTTTCATTGCATACCAAATTATTATTCTTCATTTTGCATCACAATAATATCTTAACAACAAAGCAAACAGCCTACGTTACATATGTAAATAGTCAATAATGACAACCCACAAGCTATCTCATGATTCACTATAAATATACATCTCTTCTAAAGCCAATACATCACAAACCAAAATATTACGTGAAACAGAGATATTATTATTCACAGAGTGAGTAAAAGTCTACATATTTAAACAAAAGGCGAGGATATCTAAATGTCACGGTAATGAACAAGTTCTTTCACACTTGCCAAACATTGAACGGCCTACATAGTAAAAGTCTACCTATCCGTCATCTGCTTGTCGTATATTATAATGACTTGCCAAACATTGAACAGTCCCATCAGCTATTACCCTATCTAACATGTCATACTTCTTATAATTTGCTTGAAGAGCCTCGTTCTGCTGCTTTGCAAGATTCTCTTCTTCCTGGAGTTGTTGCTTGAGCACAAATGACGCTTCAGCAGCATGGTTTCGAGTAAGACGCTTCAGTTCTTGTGCCACTTTAAAATCCGGATCATTTGGCTCCAACCAACGACAAAATATCCCTCTTCCAGGCTCTGCAGGGCGATCATCAAACATCTCCACTTCAGCACGATGTGCCCTCACGGGCCTCGGCATCCCCGACATCATGAAAGGCAATTGCGCTAACTCTGAGACAATAACATCAGCCTGTCTAAGGTTCTCCATCTCCACCAGTGCACACTGCGGGATGTTCCTTGATTCCAAGTAATTTCGAATGAACTGAACATTTTTCACAGTCCCAAACTGTGAAAGAGCAGTTCTCACAACAGTTTCAGTGACCTGTGGTGAGATGTTATCGAGGTAAACAGTTCGTTTGACCTTCTCCTCAAATGCAGCATACTTTGCTTCTGGAGTCCCCATATGCCACAATGCGTAAAACCCTAATAAGAGAGAACTCAAAAAGTTTGCTAAATTGTACAGCTAATAGCAGCAAACAATACATGCAGTTTAACCAAACTATAACCAGCAAAATACCATTCTACTATTTATGCACCAAAATGTAACCAGCAATGATAACATAACCTTGAAGCAGCAGAAACATAACCAATTAATCATCATTCAAGAACTGAATAGCATAACACCAAAAAAAGAACCTAAAAACAATCCAATTAATCAGCAACACAGAATGCATAATCTGACAGCAAGCAGCAAATTAATCACCTACAGAGAACCTAAAAACAGCCACTTAAACAGCAAAAGTCCCAATTTCCAGCAAAGCCCCAATCCCCCAATTAATCAACATTCACAATCACATCCACCAAAACCTAAACAATACATGCAACCCAACAACAGAACCTAAAAACAATCCAATTAATAAGCAAAAGCCCTAATTAATTTCCATCAAATAACAGAACCAGAAGCATGCATAAGGTACATGTAAACCCTAAAATCCTTTATTAGGCCTTTCTATTTACCTCAGAAACCGCCTACAGCCCAATTAAAAATGAAGTCCCTAATTAATTTCATGAAACCCAAATTTTAATTTCGAAGAAAAACCCTAATTTTGTTAATTCAAATTCAGATCCAGAGCAATTAGAGGAAGAAGAGATATACCTGATATTGAGATGCGAGAGTAAGCCTGAGAATCAAGCAATTTGACGACGGCGATCAGAGAGTGAGAGGCTGCCAAGTTGGCAATGAGAGCGAGAGTTAGCGGATGATAAGCACAGAGAGAGGATCGAAGACATGAAAGAGAGAGAAAATATTCTGACCTGGTTCGGATTGAGAGGAGAGACCGGTGGAAGCAGGGGCGGCGGCGGCGGGGTGGCGGCGGCGGGCGGCGGAGGAGGAGACAGGGGCGAGGAGCTCTAAAGGGCGTTCAGAGAGAGAAGAGAAGGCCCGTCTTCGAGTGATGGGCCTTGGGCTTTATTTCTCATGTTGTAGAGTGGCTTTGTTTGTTTTTTATTTTTGGGTCAAAATCGAATTTCCTTCAATAAAAGGCCGAAGCCAATCACACCAATGTGAACCAAAACATGAATTCAACCAAATGCAATACAAACGGAATGCTTTGTTTGTTTAATAACATGAATTCCACATTTCAAATATTTTTATATTCTAATATTTTTAATTAAATGGGAAATTTTGGAAATTTTGGAAATTGTTTTTATTATTGGGTGTCTAGAGATATAGAAAAACTTGTATGAAACGAGGATAACACTGTTTGCTATTTCCGGCCAATCACAGATTGCTACATGGAAAAATTATCATGCGTAACATAACGTGATTGGCCGGGAATAGCAAAAGTGTTATCCCTATTTCATTTAAGTATTTCTCCTAAAAATAGAAATTTTTATATATATTCCCAATACACCACTTGCCTAATGATGACCATTGGGTGTAATTTAAACCATTCCATGTTGAGGTGGCATCCTGATTTTTAATCCATGAACTCGGTGAACGAGAAGAACTAAAATGCCACTTGTGACAGAGTATGTGAGGACTATAGTATGACCAAAATACAAATCGAGATATAATTGAGAAACCATTAGTATAATTAACAATTAAGATATTAGGTAGTATTTTTTACTTAATTCATTATTTAGTCACGATCTTAATAAATTTCTGTTCAAAATTTTCCTAGTGACCGAAACGAAAAAGAGAAGAAATTTCTGATTGCTTTCGAGTTCTTGGTAGTCTTGGACGGCAGAAGAACTTGAATATCTAATGGCCGCCGCATATTTAAACTCATTCAACAAAACTCATAAAAGTCAAATTTTCTTCGTTTTAGAAGACTTGAATCTTAAGAAGCAACAGCTAAAAGTCCATAATGAGAGTCGATTACCAAGACCAACTACGTTAAGCAATCAAAATGCTAATATATATATATATATATATATATATGTATGTATGTATATGTACTCATCTCTAACACAAATTTAAGCATACAAATAGAGAAGATAAGCAAAGAGACTAAACCAGAGCAAGCAATCATTTACTCAAAGATGGGTTCAGAATGTGAAGGTAAAGTAGTAGCCAATTTCCTTCGTTTCTTTTCTTTCTATTTAGTTTTTTCAGAGATATGTGCCAATTTCTTATATATATATGTATATTTTTTTATTTTCAGGCAAGGGTTCGTGGCCAGAGCTTGTTGGAGTGGAGGGGGAGGTTGCCAAAGCAACAATTGAGAGAGAGAACCCTATTGTGACTGCTAAGATTGTGGTTGAAGGAGAAACATATGTCATCACCAACTACGATTGCTATAGGGTTTGGGTATGGGTTGATAAAGATGATCGACTTGTCACAAGGCCTCCCATAATTGGCTAATTAGCTAAGATAGAGCTTGCATTTCCATTATAATTATTCCTTTTACTTTCGATTATTTGTGATTGTTGTTCCTTTCTAAATGTTGAATTGAGGGGTTTGTAAATCTCCCGCGTCGTGGAATAAAACTACATACGGTATTTAACTAGATCAGTTTGTGAGGACAATGTGTTGTATTAATAATTGGCACAAATTAATGTGCTAATCATCCAATTAAAAATATCTGCAAGTGCACGAATCTATTAGGGTATAGATTTATAAGTATGGGGTCGATCCCACGAGGAACTGTCGGCTTACTAAAAGTTCTAGTTTGAGTACGAAAAGAAAACTTATTTAACACAACACAAAGGTAAGATACAAATTGGAAACTAGGAATGAGAAAAGAAAAGTAAAAGAAATGAAACAAAACAAGAAACCAAAGATAAACACAATCAGGAATTTCTATAATCCCTTTATCACCTTTCTATCACCCCTTTATCACTAATCTATCACTTGTTTATCACCTAGTGAACAATGACGACCGGTAGCATGAACAGTGATGACCGATCGTTTTGAAGCAGATGGTGGCCTGTTTAAACAAGATGGAAGGCAACCAGTCGCATGAACAAGTCGAACGGTCGTTTTGAACCCGAGAGGAATTTCCCCTATTTTCAGCTTCAACCTCTATCCAGCTTTTGACCTATAACTCTCCAACCGTTTATTCAAATTTCACGTTCTTTATATGGTTGGATTCAATACAGAAAAATGAAGAACTATACATGGGCCAAATGTAAAAAACAAATACATAAATGAATACAATTGAGTGGAAAGAACACTCACAATTTCAAACATATAACACACACAAAAGTAACCCAATTCTAATTTAACAAGCCTAACAAAAATGAATATCAAAATGTGGCTTACAAAGATGAGAAACACTAGGGTTTTCGGAATCCACTCTAAATAATCTTACTCATGTTCATAGACACTCAAGTAATGAACTCTAAAAGTCTTAATGAAGATGTTTGCAATCAAGACCGGGTCTAGTGATTCAAGATGCATTGATTCTCTCTAATATAAGTAGAGTGCATGGCTAGTGCTACAATACTCATGTCTTCCATATAATCAATCTAGGTGTGCTTAGTACTTTGAATTAATTATATGGAAAACCCATTAAGTTCAAAGAGAATATGGAAGGCACACCTAGATTGAACTTAATGGGTTTTCCATATAATCAATCTAGACGCATTGTCTTCACAAAGGTGCTCTTTGTCTCAGAAAATTGCACTCCATCAAGGTAAGTTCTTGTTACCAAATAGTATGGTAACAAGAAGAATCAAGATGACATCATGGTGGTAAAAACTAGCCCAAGACAAACCTCTAAAGCTAGGGTAAAATGCTGGATCGGTTGAATAGGCTATACTTGTTCAATGGAGCTCAAATTCAGATATGTCAAGATCCATTAGAACAAGTTTCATGAAGATCTTCACCTCATCTGAGCATCGGAGCATGCTGATTCAAGGCTAAGAAGTTGACCTAGGAAAATGAACAAAAACAAACTTAATAACCAATAATGCATTTTAGCTCATTTTCATTCTAACCAAGGTAAAATCTATGAAAACACAAAAAGAAAGTCAAATGCTATAAAATGTCAAGAACTAACTCAAAATATTGAGTGCATAACATGATAAATTATGTGTAAAAATGAACCCAATACAATGTCCTCTTTTCTGTAAATTAGATTAATTTATAGTAATATAGATCATCATTTGTATTAAAGCAAAACCTGCATACAATATTTGCTTGTAATGAGAGAGGAAATTAATTGAAGTGGCTTTTCACATGAAGGGTATTGCTATCAGAGTTGACATACCAACATTGGACCATCCTCTTTCGGGGTGTAAGTAAAACATAGTAATCTTATGTTGTTTTCATTTTTTTTGCCTGAGATGATGCATGAATGGCCAAGTCCTTTCTATATGATCAATTTAATGGAAACTCATGTTCACCATAGTTAAAACGCCGAACCAGAAGTCACTTGACATTTTCTTTTTTCTTTATATTTATAAATAAAATTAAAAAGGCCTTTACATCTTAACAACACATGCAAACATAGGAACCTTAACCAAAAGATGCTCCTAATCAAATCAAGAATGGATGTACGTAACGTGTGCAGCCATAAATAGTGTTTTTTATTTACTTGAAAATAATGAATGTACGTAACATGTGCAGCCATAAAAATGGTTTCGAAGGGGGAGGCTTGTGGTGATGGTGCTTATTATTTTATCATCACCATTGTTTGCGGCAGCTGATGATGATGAGTACCATGTTCAAAAAAATAATCCACATCCCTCCCAAAGTCTCTCTCCACTTGCTTTTAATTTTAGGGAAGATTTTAAGATTCCAAAAATAAAAAAATTTGGTAGTAAAATTCTCAACAAGGTGGAGGGTATAGTTGGCATTACCAAGAAAAACGAAAATGAAGTTGGCATTACCAAGAAACAAAACAAAGAAGCTCAATCACATGAATGTTCAAAACCATCAAAGATTAATGCAGCCAAAAAAACAGATGTGTCATATCTGGATATTTCCGACGGTGGAAAAAGAGAGAGTAAGATGTCCAATGAATCATATCAACTAGAATTTATATAATTTGAATCAATAACTCTTGGTATAGTGATAACCTTTCAAAGTTAAAAGTAGTTACAAGTACGAATCATTCTCCACAAAATTTAACGGGCATGCAAACTTCTCTCGATTTAAATATTCTTCCGTTTTCTTAAGAAAGGAATTAACTAGAGAATGAGTTTTCTAATTTCCTATAAATGGTTCTTTTATGAAATTAAGAGTGTAGCCATGGAAGTGATTGCGAGGGGAAGACTTGTTGTGGTGATGGTGCTTTCTATCAGCATCAGTGTTGGTGAAAGCTGATGAGTACCATGTCCAATATGTTTCTCCACTTTCCTCCCTAAATCTCCCTTCACTTCTTGCTCACTCTAGTGAAGACTTACGTTCCAAAAATCATTCATACAAAAATCAAGAAAGCTGGTAGTAAAATTATCAGCAAGGTGAATGGGAAAGTTGGCATTACCACCCTCCCCCCGTAGAGGTTAACAAGGAGGAGCTCCTCCTTAATTTTAAAGAATCAAGTTTTTCCATTAAATAAAATGGATGTTGTATTATACGTATGGAAGTGAGTGTGTGTGTGTGACTTAATTACAAGAGGACCACTTAAAAACTTGGATTTACAGCAAATTAAAGAAGTGGTTTCAGGTTAAGATATAGAGAGATCACTATGTTAATGGTACGTACTCTTATTAAATTTGATTTAGGATCCGCTTTATGTTACATTATTTTCTCATAAGACTACTTATAAGAATCTTGTAATTTAAGTGGTTAAATATGTTTATCTTTGTACTCGAAAACCTGGATCATTGTTTAATAACTCTTTAGAAGAAGAAGCTAGAATAAGAAGATGACTAGCAGAACAAGAAAGAGAAAGAGAATCTGAAATCAGAATGTGCATTGACTTTTCTTAATGTACCATCAATGCCAATATAATTCTAAAAGCATCCTTGTCCTCCTTTTCCAATTGAGAACTGAAGAAAAAAAGATGAAGGCTCCATTTGTCATTGATTGGGTACTCTTTTCTGGATTATTTATTTGTATCCCTTGTGCACACACAAGAAAGAGAATCCACCTTGGTTTCTCTGTTTTGGTAAATAATCAACCACAATTTCTCAATCACCCATCACATTTGTATTTAATCTTCTTAAAATAATAATAATAAAAACAAAAAATTCTTGACCTCCTGCCAAAATGTAGTACATAGTCAAACCTTTATTTATCCCTGCCGGCCATACACAAATCCAAAGGCTAAAACATCCAAACTCATCCCACTTCAAATACCCATTTCCTCCCACAACCTCTTTACCAAGAAATAGTGATAATCACCAAGATGGCGAGTAGCACAAGCACTGGTGAGATTTTCTCTACATCTTACCACCACACATCACTATCGTTTTGCTTCCTTCATATCATGATCGGATCATTAATTAAGCTATAATTCTACATCGCTAATTATGTGTTAATTTGTGGGTTGGTTGATGTTATTGCTTGCAGGTGCAGCAGCAGGAAAGAGTTCATGGCCAGAGCTGGTGGGGACTAAAGGAGAGGAGGCAGTAGCCACTATAATGAAAGAAAATCCATCGCTCAAAGCCCACACAATAAATCAAGGGTCCTTCATCACCATGGATTTCCGTCGCGACAGGGTTCGTGTCTGGATTGATGAGCAAGGTGTTGTCACTGCAGCGCCTAAGATAGCGTAGGCAAGGATATTAATTTCAAACTGGATTTGTGTGTCTTTGCTAAAAAGTATGGATATATATTGTGTTTTTTTTTAAATTGCGTCTTGTATGATATTGAATATTACACCTTCTTGAGCATTAATTATAATTTTAAATAACAAAAAATAACTTAAGGTTGTGCTTATGTTAATAACCAAAAAATTATTGTAAATCAACAATGCGAAATTATCACTTGTATAAATTTATATATATAATATATATTTAGATTAATTTAGAATAGATTATCACTTGTATAAATTTATATATAATATAAAAATGGAAAGAATTTATTGGAAATAACTCCAAGCCCCCTTACATCCAATTTTGGTCCCCCTCCCCTGAAATAATTTCCTTAATTTAAAACCCAAGTGTTTGAGTGTCCTCCTGTACTTATATGCAAAATCCACTTTGAATTAATCCTAATCAACCTCTACGAGGTACTTGGTCGACAGTGCCGTAGCGATTAACGTGAACAAGAACCCTTTTAATATTGCTAGTATGGAACTCAGGGATGTATTACATATCAGTAATGGAGAAACTAGGAATCAAAGAATTTAGGAATCGGAGAACTACTAATCGGTATGAGAAGAATCATTCTCATTAAGCTGTTTACTAAACATATGGAATTAGCAATGGAATGGGATTGATTCCCATTGTTATTGTTTACTAATTTGCATGAATCAGAATCCAAATTAATTTTAGAATTATGGTAAAGTGATAAGGGTATTTTTGGAAGTTATTAAGAGAAAACAGGAATGAGAATCGTATCGACTACTCCCTCCTAGTTGATCTGATTCCTAGTTTTGAGAGAATGTGATTATGGATTTTGAGGTGGGGCCCACTTATTTTTTCATTCCTAATTGCAAGTAAACACAGGAGAAGTCAGGAATGGAAATCATTCCCTTTCCTTCCATACCAATTACTGATACGTAAACATGCCCTTATTGTTATGATTACTTTTAACGATGGGTTGTGTGCCTTAATCCTGGATCTTACCACCTCCCCTTTTTCGCCCACAAGCTCTGGCCATGACATCTTCCCTTGTTTTTTTTACAACGCCAACTTCATTTTTGGTAATTCCAATTTTCATCTTCAACTTGTTGACAATTTTAACGCAAACATTCTTCACTTTTGTATAAATGAATTTTGGAACGTGAAAGAAGTCTGCACTAGAATTTGGAACAAGTGAGGAGAGATTCCGATGAACATTGTTGTGCTCATCAGCTTCCACCAACATTGATGCTGCTGATAGAATAATAAGAAGCACTGCTACTAGTCTTTCCCTTGCAATCTTTCCCACAGAAACTCTCTTAATTCATTATTTTCAAGTAAATAAAGAGCATGATTTATAGGAAAATTAAAAATAAAATAAAATAACTATTTGTTTAGTTATTTCATTTTTATTTAGTTAGAAGGAATAATATTGTTGGAGCAGGATTTCTTTCAAGAAGAAATACCTCCACAGGTTCTTGACTGAAGTCCGCAAGCTTCCTTGGTTGAAAGAGAACTCCGGATTATGTTTCCGAGGTCGAACGGTGGAAATAGGGTGAGTACCTGCAAAAGTCACTCCAACGCTCAAGTCAGTGTCTGTGCAGCATACTCTTAGTGTTCAATTGAATTTCTGGTCCCTTGGCTGGAAGTCTATCCGGGTTTTTATAGCGCTTTGAGTTCTTGGGTTTGGCCCCACTTCCCTAACTTTGCGCATCCCATCCTCCACTTCGTGGTAGTGGGATCATATGAGCGATTTGCGTCTCCCTCGCTCCGCACTTCTCTAGTGGGAGGGAAGTTTGATCTCCCACGTCTTTTAGTTGTGGCATATGGGTTAAGCCATGATACGTGAGATTTGGCCCCACAGTGCCCCATTTTTTTCCTCTCTACACGCTTCGCGAGTGGATAGGGAAAAATGATCTAAGTGGGACTTTGGAACAAGTTTTCTTCGAATTGAGTGCATGTCATCCTGATGGGCTCATGGCTGAGCCCAGATAAGTCATACCTTTTTCCCTTGGGCTTGTTGGTCAAGCCTAAAAATATGATTCCTATTGGCCTATCACTGACACATGCATGTTTCTTTCACACCTTGCATGTGAAATATTCAAATATGAATTTTCATGCACGTTGCTAACTTTTCAAGTTCCAATTGTGGACTGTTATCCCTATGTGGAGTATCCAAGTGCGGACAGCCGATCCCACGCGCAAGTGGACCCTTTTCTTTATTTTGAATTTCTGCACCTCTACCGATCCGGTGGGCCCATGCTCATTTTCCTCTTTGCTAACCGACCCCCGTTGGGGTGTACATGTGCTTGGCTTCAAGCTTTTGCCGATCCGGTGGACCCCATGATCCTTGCTTTCTCTTTGCTAGTTGATCCCAACTCCAGTCGGGGTGCACTTGATTTTGAGCTTTTGCAGATCCAGTAGGTCCCATGCCTCTTGGTTTCTCTTTCCTAGCCGATCCCAAATGGATTGGGATGCGCCTGGTTTTAAGCTTTTGCCAACCCGGTGGGTCCCATGCCTCTTGGTTTCTCTTTGCTAGCCTATCCCAACCCCAGTTGGGGTGCGCTTGGTTTTGAGCCTTTACCAATCCAGTGGGTCCCATGTATCTTGGTTTCTCTCTTTTTTTATTTTTTTTTTCCTTCTTTTTTTTCTAGCACTTGAGCCATCCACGCGGGCCCCAAAACCCCTTAGCTATCCTTCCGGACCCGTGCGCCTTCGGTTTCTCAACCAATCCAAGGTGTACACGAACTTCTTTTTTGTTTTTTTTTCCTTCTCTTTTTTTTTTTTACACTTAAGCGGTCCACTCGGGCCCCAAAACCCATTAGTTGTCTTCCGGACCCGTGCGCCTTCGGTTTCTCAACCGATCCAAGGTGTTCACGAACCTTTTTTTTTTTCGTCTTCTTCTTCTCTTTTTTTTTCTTGCACTTGAGCTGTCCACGCGGGCCCCAAAACCTCTTAGCTGTCCTTCTGGACCTGTGCACCTTCGTTTTCTCAACCTATCCAAGGTGTCCATGCCTTCTTTTTTTTTTTGCTGACCTTTTGGACTCCATATGCCCTCAGTTTCTCCTTTTCTTTTTCATCGACTCCCAAGCAGTCCACAATCTAGTCTTTGCGTGAGGGGGTGAACAAGCCTAGCTCCGTAGGTGTACTTACTACCTTGCATCACTTATTGCTTACATATGTTGCTCTTATTTGTCTTTTATCGAAGCGCATGCGTTGGTAGAAATAATTTCAATTGGTCATATCAGACCAGGCTTTGTTGCTAGAGCCTAAGGCAAATATCCAAGCCGGCCACATCAAACCTTATCTTTGCTTTTGAAAAACTTCTTCCCGTGACTTCTGTGAATTATTTTCCCAATCTTCGCCCCTTATTATAAGAGGTCGATCGACAGAGATACATTCATTCGTAAAACCGCTTATGCTTTGCTTTTGTTCTTGATATATAAGCTCTAGGCGCGAAGGGAGAGGAAAGAGAGTATAGAAATTCTTCTCTATTGGGGGATTTAATTCATGCCCCCATTGTAGCTCCTAAGGCAAGAGTGTATCCATGGCTTCTCATTATGACTTTTTGTACGATTCCCACAGACGGCGCCAACTGTTGGAGCAGGATTTCTTTCAAGAAGAAATACCTCCACAGGTTCTTGACTGAAGTCCATATGCTTCCTTGGTTGAAAGAAAACTCCGGATTACGTTTCCGAGGTCGAATGGTGGAAATGGGGTGATTACCTGCAAAAGTCACTCCAACGCTCAAGTCAATGTCTGTGCAGCGTACTCTTAGTGTTCAATTGAATTTCTCGTCCCTTGGCTGGAGGTCTAGCTGGATTTTTATAGCGCTTCAAGTTCTTGGGTTTGGCCCTATTTCCCTAGCTTTGCGCATCCCGTCCTCCACTTCATGCTAGTGGGATCATATGAGCGATTTGCATCTTCCTCGCTCTACACTTCTCTAGTGGGAGGAAAGTTTGATCATCCCACATATTTTAGTTGTGGCATATGGGTTAAGCCATGATACGTGAGATTTAGTCCCCACAAATATTGAATTGGATGAGAAGTTTTGATGCACATTGTTGTTCGGTGAAAGTGTTAAAAGTAATTTGAGATCCAATGGTATAGATTCTAAATTATATATTTAATAGTCTCAAACGAACAGATTAACTTTTGGTTAGGTTGAAACCAAAAGTGACTTTTGGTTTTGCATTTTGACTATGATTTGTAAATTTTCAATAAAGTGAGTGATCATCATATGGCAAATGATAGCAAGAGTCTACCTAAATGTTGCTACACAATAATTGATGGTCCCTCAAAATAAAATAAAAAATAAACTTTAGCACAAAAATTTGTGCTTTTTGAAAAGTTAAAACGGTTATAGTAACTCCATAAACGACAATAATTGGATGCTTTGCCGCATGTCAGGGTTTAGTTCATCTTTATTTTGCTACCCTGACACACAGCAATAATATTTATATTTATAGATGAAGTGGAATATTAATCATCTCCTTAAGAAAAAAAAAATTATAAATATATAAAATTCAAAGCTGCAATTTTTGCTAGCCTTAATATGTTGTTCCGGATATTGCGTGGGAATATTCGTAGAGTTTGCTTAAGCCTTCAATCAATAGAGCCTAGACAGACCGATAGAGCCTTAAATTGTCTTGTTCAGATTGCGTACCTGAAAATGAAATGGAGATTGTGGAATTAAATTCTGAAAAGATTGACGATCGACGACCTCCAAGATTGTAGGACGTGTATTCGCATTTGATCACACAGATATTTTCTTAGCTAAAACATGTGAATTACTAAGATCAAGGCTCTCCTATCTTTTGGCAGTCAATCAAACACACCTTATTGCTTTATGCTATCTTTTCTTTTGCAGGGGTTCTAGGCTCATCTTGATCCAAACGCGCATATATTTTTTCCAGATTATTGTTAGAAATACTAGTGGATGCATGCTTATGTTTCGTTAATTTGTATTAAATAAGTAAAGAAATAAATGTATATTTTTTGTTGTCAAACAATGAAAACCGACATATAACAATCGACAAAAAGTTTTGTATTTTTTTTTAACATAAGTGATAGTCTAAACTATAAGAGGAGGTGAGTTTCTTACACACACATCAATTGGTGTCATGGGGGTTTGAACCTGAGACCACTAGTTTGCAAGTTAAGGCCCTTTGTCACTAGGTTAGACCCATTGACAAAGGTTTTGTATGTTAACTTAGTGGGTAAGCCACTCAAAAGAATGCTATTGTTTTTGGATCGTTCATCGCTCATCCCCTTTTCCCTCCCTTATTTTTTTCGTCCATCCATTTTCTCTCTATTTTATACTAAAAAATCTCCTCCCTAAGTAGACAATGTGACCATTTCTTGGATGAAATTAGTTTTCCTAATAATTACGAAGTTAGAATGAAACTATGGAAACCAGTGGCGGATCTATGCATAGGGCAGGATGGGTACCTGCCCATCCCAAAAATTTTTTCAATTTTTAAAACCTACATATGTTATAAGGGCAGCCCAAAATTTAAAAAATAAAAGCTAACCCAATACACATGTTGCCCATCCAAGAGGAAGTGGTCTCATATCTTCTCTCTCTTCTTTTTGGCTACATCACATCAGCTTGTTTATCTCATCTATTCTATGGCAATCTGACGGCAACAACATATTCTTTCCCCTTTTATTTGTTGCATCTTCTTGTTATCTTGGTTGGGCAGTGGACAACTTGGCAGTATATTTTCCTCTACTTTCTACAACAAAAAGTATTTTCTAATTATCTAATTTTTCTATATCTTTAATTATAGTTTTAATTTAAAATTGAGTATTCTAGGATTTATGTAGGGATTGATTTAAAATTTTGTGATTTTGTTGAAATTACTTGTGATTTTTGTTTTTGTTGTTAAGTTTTTATTTATGTATAGATGTATTTGAGGGTAAAACTCATTATGACCCTCTGACTAGATGTATTTTTTTCTGCTTATTAATGAAATTCACTCGTACCGTCAAATTTAGTATGTAAGTTCCGCCCAATTGGCTTTCCCATCCTGAATCCGCCACTGATGGAAACTGTGAAATAATGTCCAAAGCAAAGGTTCCACGTTCAAACTTGGCCAAATCAAACGTTGACTTGACAATATGTGCAAAAAACCGATGTCTATATGTCCACCATTTTCATTTTCCATTTTCATGAAACAGGAAGGCTTTGTGGCATCATTTTTTCTAGCCCAAAGAAACTGAAGTCAATATTTAAAATATCAACTACATATTCATGCATCAATCAATTTCCGTTAACCATGAAATTAGTCAAACTTGTGAAGCTGTAAGTTCCACAAAATTTCCACATGATAAATAAGGAAGAAAATATAGAGAAATACAAGTAGCACGCGCCTTCTACGCATGATCCATATCTTTCTTTTGAGAGTTCAAAATCAGCACACTGCAGCACACAGGATTAGTCAAATTAACGGCGGATATGAAAAATGGCCACAAAAAGAAAACAAGTAATTAAAGCTATGTATTGTTGTTCCATGTTTATGTGTTTGTAGCTGTGAATGTGATGCATGTGATCTTCAAGACACACCTTTTAGTTCTTTTTTTGTTTTATATTGATTAAAACTAAACACACACATGTATGTCTAAATAATTATACCCAAGATAAAGGCCTTCGTATCATCATTTGTTTAATTGCCTCATGTTTATGGACACTTGGAAGTGCTTCGCATATGCTAGTTGAATAAAATAATCTGTTGTCTACAACTAGTTTGAAATATATTTGTATAGAAAATGTAAACGTATACTTTAAAATTATATAAGCTTAAGCCCTTTAAGTAGATAAAAACTTTAGTTGCAATGGGAATAGCACGTGGAAGTGTTATCACTTGTATCATAGCGTTATTGGTCGGGGAAATAGTGTTATCCCCATTTCATGGAAGTCTTTCTCCTTAAAGTGAGAGTTTATAGTTCTAGGGTTTTAAAAAATAATAAATAATTAGCATATCCCAGTTTCCTCTCTGTCTATTAACAAGGCACGCATATGTTGGAAATTTGATCACTATAGCGCCAGTCAAAGAAAAACTGCCAGCCAAATATATAGCGTGTTAAGGTTGAGAGCACATTTTTCTTTCTCCTTGCCAAACCGCCAACCTTTTTTTATAATTCCAAAAAGTATAATGGATCAACACAACTACATTAGTCAGGCCACAGTGCACAAAACTGGATTACGTTTTTTTTTTTTTATTCGAGATAACTGGAATTCATTCAATAATCAACCAATATAATACAACGAAAAGAAGGAAAAAGATGTACAAAGCTTGGCCTACGTAAAAAGCCTTTGGCGTAAAAAACCCCAACAGATGATAAGGTCTTTTCCGCAAGGAATAAATCAACTTTTACACTTGATCTTAGCCAAAGGCCGAGAAATGAAGGTATTGAACAGAGTAAATGAATGTACAAATTACTTATAACATTGTTACAAGAAAAACCGAAATTAAATCTATGTGGCTACTATTTTGTATATCATATTATTCTTCCAAGTTCAACCAGTAAACTTAAGTTTCAAGTCTCCAAAATTTGAAGTAACGTACACGGTACTCCACCAGGTGTTTGATGATATCAGTATCATTTATGGTTGGTAGCCACACCAAATGGAACCCAGAGACGGGGATAAGCAGAAGCATGGTGAGACAAGCCATGGCCTGCGTAGTTCTTGACCTTGAGTGGGCAGCCCGATCCCCCAGTACCGGGGATGTAGGTGCACCTGGAAGACTCGGAAGGAGGCAGATCACCTCTGGGAAGAGACTGGAAGTTCATAAGTTCATGCTTCATAAGCCTCGCTTCAGCATAGAGAATTCTGCCAGCTTTGTTGGGTTGTACATGCAGAAGACACAGAAGCAGCAGCGCAGCCAAAGCAAAGTTGACAAGCCCCATAATATTTTTGTTAGGTGCAGTGATATTAAGATATAAACGTATGCGTAAACTTCATGACGGAGTTACGGTATTTATAGCTGAAACCTCTGAGGAACTTTGGTATTATTTTATTAGTGATTTGGAGGAATTTGACTGTTGACTAATGGGTGGATTTGTTTAAAACCATTCTTTTCGTCTCCAAGTAGAGTTCAACAAAATTGAATAGGTCATGTGAGCAATTAAATAAGCTTAAGGGAGAAAGATTTGAACTTAATCCCAAGGTTTTGCTTTCCACTTTCCTTTTCATAGGGGTATTTTATATGTGTAATATCAATAATGTTACTTATACCATATTTATTAACGGCCCATCAATGTATGTAGGATCCAACTGTATTAGATATGTGATCTGCAATGTGATCAGTAAATATGGTCCAAATAGCGACACTCGTATAATATTTGATTATTTGAAGTATGGGATATACTATAATGTTACGGGTCTTTGAGGATTAAGAATTGTGTTTCTTTCCGTTCACGTATCTTAATTCATCGATTTATTTATGTCACCAAATTGTTAATGATGTCTGAATATTGTCCAAATTGTTTTAATGTTTTAACGGTATAGGGAAAGTTCATGGGACTTGACACTTTGGGGATCCCATTATGCATAAGCGGACAAATATGCGTACATGGTATGGTGAGAAGAATATTCTGAAGTCATCCATTACGATAGGCAAATCCAAATTCCAAATGGGACTCTCTCTCTCCAATACCCAAAAACACATAAAAACACTGGTAGGAAATCAAATAAAAAAAGATTGTGTCGAACTCCAATAAAAAATCCATCTCTGCATTTCTTGAGAAGTTAACATATAGATCATGAGAAGAACAGTGACCACACAGCGGTGATGGGCCAAAAGTAATAAGTTAAAATGTCAAAAAGCCTGCTACAGCCATGAACCATGAAAACCCCAGGATAAATCAAAGCTTCATTTCTAACTTATGAAAAGGATGGAAGAAACACTCTTTACAAAATGTTTTCTTCTGAAAAGATTACAACCTCACTCCAAATGTAACGACCCAACAATTTCCTCAAGTACATTATTACAACGGACAGCAACCCACTAATTTGTGGGTAGGTTCCGTTGCTCATTCTCTTCACTAACCATCCTCTTCACTGACCATTTGAAGGCCGGAATACAGTGTACCCATTCACCCCACATGCCATGTTCGAATATTCAGGACTGTAGTAAGGGTAGCCCTCAGATTCTGTGTTCCTCATGCCAAGTACAGATAGATCAGAATTTGCCATCGGCCACTGGTTAGGAATTAACCCATCAATCTGCCCATTCACATAAGGTGGCGGACCAGCTTGCGGTGTAAATTCCCTAAGTGATTCGAAATGTCCCCCTAAAGAGTAGCCCCTCTGGAACCCATCATCTTGGTAACTCCGTGTCCGCTCAAACCTACAAGAGCTGGTTGCAGACCCCGTGTCGCTAGACATGCCCAAATCACCGGGGTAAGAAAACTGCCGATTTAAGTGGGTTGGCCCGTTGCTGAAGGGGTGGAAGACTGAGCTTCCTCTAGCAGTTCCAAAGCCATGCTCATCATCAAGCAAATCATTGATGATATCAAGGTGAGGGAATTCATCGGCCGATACACCTTGGGTCTGACGCCCAGATGTACAGGCTGGGAACTCAGTGGACAAATGTTCCTGTGGCCTGCCATGTAAAGGCGGTTTGTAGAAGTCAAAATTTTGATCATGAAGCAAGGAGGAAGGATCGTAATTCATGCCTTTGATCGATTCCCTTTGAGAACTCTCCATCCATTGGGGTCCATTATGCAACGCATCCCGAGTTACCATCCCAAACGAAAAACCTGATTTAACTGAGCTTGGGTCCATCATTTCAGAGCCCTGAGGTAAGAACATTGGGGCAGATACCAAGGCTGGTGACTGTGAGTATACTGGGGATGGGTTCACTCCTGAGGTTGGAGAGTTATGCGTCATACCAGTTGAACCTGAAGCTACATGGTTACCCAGAATGGCATTTCTATATGACTGGGGAACATAACTATGAGTTGCTGGTGATGGGTCAGGACCCAACCGGCCAGCTGCACTTACTGAACGAGCAAGCAGAGGAGCTGTTTGAACAATAGGCACAACAGCAGAAGTAGGCCTGGGACCAGGAACCAGAGGAGCACTGGAAGGCCTAGACAACACAGGCACTTGCTGTGCCATGGCTTTTTCAGCTGGTTTTGGAGTTGCAGCCTTCTGAGTCTCAGGTTTGGACACACAGTTATTCTGGGATGTAGTAGTCAAAGGTGTCACTCTATCAGTATGCTGGGCACTGATTGAGGATCCCTTCCTAAGTGGAACAGAATCTATAACAGCACTACTCTGGCACTCTGACTTCGGTTGACCCATCAAGGGCACAATTTTAGGTGGGCTTCCAGGTGAGGATGTTACTGCCGATGTCTTCTCTTTCAACGGTCTTTCCAAATCAACCTGATCCTTGATACTCAATTTTTTCTGCAGTGAAACAACTTCTTCCTCCTATAACATGAAATGCAAACAACAGTTGTGTCACACTCGTGAAAAATAAGAAATTAACAAAATCGCAAGTTATGATGATAAATGTAGCTTTCTAATGTGTTAAAGAGTATGGGTGGCAAGGAATAACGACAATTGTGCAAATACAATAGGAAATATTGGGGACTGTACGACCTTTGAACCAATTATACAGTTAGAAATACAAGATAGAAGAAGTAACCAGTAGGGTCCAGGTGGTGAAGGCCAACAACAGCAAGGCAATCTTCAAGTCATGGAAGACCACAAAAAATTATAAGGAAAGAAATTATCACCTTCTTAACAACATGCTGCTCCAGCCACTTAATCCGATCATGCAATGAATGAACAGCAGGCTCAGACTCAGATTCACGCACCTTATTACTACTTCCAGAAACATCATTCAGAAATCCTGCATCAGCTACAGGTCCAGAAGGCTGATTATCCATCTCATTTGGCCAATTATTCCCATCACTTGTTGCCTTACCACGCTGATGTTTCCCCCTGCAATTTTGAATTCAGGAAAATGATAAAGTACCTTGTATGATCACAGTTGCACAGCAAGAAATGCGAGCTATATTTACCTGCTAGGTGATTTTTGGTTTTTGTAATTAGAAAAGGAGTTCCCCTTATATGGCCCATTCATTACCACTGATGGGACTGAGTCTGTGGAACATGTTGAGGAACTATCATCCATCACAGATGGGCTCTTTCTCTCAGATACTCCATTTTGCACAGATGACAGCCCACTAATTCCACTGCTGCTGGCTTCAGTGGGAGGATGGACTTCTGATGTGTCAGTGTCCCAATTTATTGGACCAGCATCTCTGTCTTCAGAATCAGGCTGAGGTACTTCAGTAACACCATCCACTGAATCAGACACATCAGATACATCATCCAGTGTTTCTGGCTTTTCAAGCTCCGGTTGCTCCTCATCCCTTGTGTAATCTTTCATTTCCTCAGTGGGGTTTTCTTCTTCTTGTTTCTCTTGTACTGGTATATCAGGCCTTTCCTCCCTCCCTTTGTCTTTCCCCTTCCGGTTATTCCTCTTCTGTTTAGCCTGTAGAAAAGAAGCAAGGGATGCCTGTCGGAATCAAAGGGGAAAATGAGGAATTATCATTTTTGACAAACTTTCAAACCTACCAACCCCATTCCCCTCATTGCAGTGGTTTCAGTTTGAACAAACGTTAACAGAAATGTTGCATTTGAATATTAGTTTATCTATTTCCACCATAAAGCTGGGAAAAGCTTTTCTTAACTCAGTTTTTCACCTATCTGAAGGACCAAAATAAGAGATTAGACAGTAAGACTAGTATAAAAGGGATCCCTGGTGGCAATATTGTTTTCAAAGTCAACAAATAAACACCCCATACTTAGTAAAACATCAGAGAGTGCACTGCAGGAACAAAATAAAGCCAAAAGATACATTGTTCTGATCAGAATCCATGCATAATAACTGATGCAATATTCGCAAAAAATATGCATTCCAACCAAGGCTAATAGAAAAGGTTACAAATAACACTTCTAAAACAGAATTGCCTTTTTTAAATATCCATTTGGTGAGTTTAGATGAGAGCACAGGACTTAAGATGTCATTAACAAATACAGTCGTTCTGCTGATAACTGTTAAGGGAACATTTCATAAGACTCAACTACTGAATCGCATGAACAGGCCAGTTGGCAATATCATAATACTCTAAACCGAACCAAACCTGTTTTTTCTTTGACTTCTTTTCCTTTTCAGTTGCTCCTCGTTTTGCCTTTTGCTCACTTTCAGCCTGCCATGCTGCCTCTTCCTCACGGATGAGTTCCTCTTGCCTCTTCAATGCAACAGATTCATGATAGGCAACTTCAATTTTATTGCTGCACGTAAAAAGGGCAAAGAATACACCATTAATAAAATTAGACGCATAAATATGATCAAAATGTCATTGTTGAACCATTCATACTGTTAAAAGGCAACATGGTCTAAAGATATCTACCATTATCTAAAAAAGTGATAATTCATCACTCAAAGTGACATTCAAACAACTATAACAAAATGGCTAACTTCATTAGAAAGCTGGCTAACTCTAGCTTTAATGTTGATGACACTGAAAAAATTCTCAACAGTATGTATACTAATTCACCAACAATGGAGAACCACATCTTAATGCTCTTTTCTAGTATTACAATACTTGAAAAATGACGATCCAAAGTAGGTTATGGTCTAAATTATGTCATTTTCGATTCCACTCCCCAGGCACCAGCCTAACTCAACGTACACAAAATGTATTTATGAACGAAATTAGTGGCCATAACTCCACCTATTTCACTTTGTGTAGTCCCAGGAACCACAATCCCTGGATTAAAAAATGGCATGCCATTTACTGTGGAAGCAAATATACAAAAGATAGTTTGCTAAGAACAAAATACTAAGAATCCATATCCATTATCAACCACACATTTCACAAACAGATAATTCATTAACCATAACTCCCCCTGCACATTGCGCGAAACAAATTTGCAATATTATGAAGTGGGATTCACAACTAATTTAGTAAAAAGAAGACCAAGGGCAATTACAAGAAATACTGTGGGACAATACTCAATAATTATACCAGCAAGAAAAACACATATTGAGCTAAGAGGATACCTGAAAATATGGGCAAGCACAAATATTTCCACAGTCCTACGACCCAATTCCGTAAGACGTCTTTCATCTCGCTCGATAGAATCTTTGTTGAAGTCCTCTCCAGAATTTCCATCCTGCAGAAAAACCAGAATGGTTATTCAGAGATCAAGCAAAACTAATCAAATTCCTTAAGTATCTCAGCCCTCCTCCTTTTTCAATCACACTCATAATGTATTACATATCCTCGACAACAATTAGTAGGATATTTAGTAAATTAGTCATAGAAATTTTCCACCCCATTAAGGTAATAAAAGTCCTAATAGAATCCTTCTAAATCACTAAAACACCAGAATATATAGATCTTTACCCTTGTGAACAAAATTTGACTAAAACAAGGGGCTGGAACTTCCCATTAGAAGGGGTGCGGGGGCTTCATATTATTGGCGACTATACAGTCCATAGGCCGTAGTAAGTTAACCAGTTAATCAGTAACTGAACAGTGAACAATGGCACTAGACATGAAGATATACTAAACTAATAAATTAATAAAGAGAATATAACAGTGTTTGAAGTATTGACATATCCAAAAGCATTGAGGTGAAGAATAATTCACAGTAAGTATTGTGAAAACAATGGGTAGAAAATTTTCCTTTGTTTCCTCAAAAGGTAACAGAACTTTAAACCTAAATACTAGGTTAACAAGAACTTAGTTTATATTCAGATTATCTTTTGTACCCCGATACTGATTCCCAAAGTCCTTGACATGAATGAAACTGGAATAGTTGACAAATCAATTAAATCAATAAGCACAAACATCACCAAGTAATATCTAAAAGAAAGGATGTAATCCCCAATACCACACAACCAACAATAGGGACTTAAATGCATCAGAAAAACCAATCCAAACTTCACTGCTCAACATAGGATGTTAGCAACTCACTTTTGTACGATTTTGAGGACCCTTCTCATCTTTTGGAGGTAATGGTTCCATGGCAGCCCTCTCAAGTAGCAATAGCACATCATCCACCAATACAAACGCATCTTTCTCCACACGAACAATTGGTGCTGGCATTTCTTCAGCCTCCAATAGTTTCACCCTACCTTTCTTGGATTTAGTTTGGCCTTCAAGAGCCTTCAAACCACTATACAATGAATCCATTACCAATGTAGATGTGACTTCTTTCTCAATGAAAAAATGCTTAACGACTACTTTCAGGACTGCATCCATCTTCTCCCTGGACATACGGCGCCTAGCATTTTGTTCAATACCCAACCAGAAGGAGCGAAAGCTGCAACCATATCAAAAGAAATGTTACTATAAAATAGACAATATTTAACCCGTAAGCTAAGAAAAACATTTGTACAAACAGAAGAGAATGCATGCATGCATACATACATGTGCATCTGTATGCTTACATTACAAACACATGCACCCAAGTCAACATGTTAACGGAAGTCCAGAAGATACAGCAAAAATGCCATTACATTCATGGTAATTCACATTTATAGGAACCGCACAAGAACTGTAAAAGAAAGCTTTCAATACATCATGTCTTCCCAAGATAAGGCATTGTATAGCCAATCCTAATCGTGATCATTTCAACTTTATTATTTAAGCTGTAGCATGATAAGAAAGTTCCAAAGCAAAGATATACCTTGTCCATCTAGCTTTATCCTCTATCAACTTTCCAAGTTTGCTTCTTCTCTCCTCCACAAAACGACGACAGATTTGCTCTACATTTGTCAAGTATACCCTAACAAGTTCTCTCCTATATTGACAGTCAAGGCAGCGGAATGGCCGGTCTGCTTTCTCCCTATAAAACCAAGAAGCAAAGAAATATAATTCTTGCAAAGACGATTAAAATGCATGGCAAATTAAAACACAGAAAGTAACATATAAAGTTACCCAAACAATATGCAGACACCCAAACCAAAAGGTGTGATTTTTTTATGAAGAACTTTGCAATCAAAAGCTGGAATTTAAAATAAATAAAAGAAAGGCCACCAGAAGAGAGTGCCCTTCAAAATCATAACAGATGAGAAAGTCGGATTTATAAACATTAAAAATAAGAATAAAAAAGACAGTAAGAAGAGGGTCCCTTCAATATCACCACGAGAGATGCAGTGCTATCCTTAACTACAACGTATCCTTTAAATCAAATACCATAACTTATGTAAAACAAAATCGGGCCATGGTGAGACTTAATTATGATAGTTTTTCCCATGTAGGAGTCAGAAATAAAACATCGGTGCTCCAGTAAAAAATTTATACATTAAACAACCATCACCTGATCACTTGAACTTGAGCTTTTATTATAAGAGTGTCAGCATCAATAAACCCATCTAATACTTTTGACAGCTCCATAAATTTTTTCCACCCCCAGTCATGCTCTTTCTTCCAAAATCGATGTAATGTATCTGCAAAAAATTTGCATTTTCTGAAAAGTGGTAATGGATAAAATTGAAAGCCCACTACAACTAAAACATCGATGAACCAACCAACCAGAATATTTCGACTTCTTAGGATCTTTATTTACCACAGCTATTGTAAACTGTGCAAAATGACTCCAACCTGTTAGACATACAAACAATAAATGCTATAATTACACCACAAGAAGAAAAAAAAATTCAAGAAAATCGATCATCAGAACTCCAACAAATTAAATATAGCACACCTGGAAGAAGTTTGTCATGATTAGCTACACAAAGAAACAAAGAGAGATGATTGCAAACATCACAACCCTGGGGATAGATTAGAATATACCTGCCACGTAACAAAAGTTTAAAATTCACATCTTAAAATGGTTGTTTAAGCAAGCCACATGTGTTCATCGGCAATTAGGCACCAAACTTAAAGGGGAACTTTTTTGCAAGCGTGTATACATAATTCTCAAACTACAAAACCTGTGCAACCTTTCAGAAAGGCATTTTTTGCTACATGCTGTTTTGTGGGTGCAAATGGAATCTGTAATTAACTAAAAAGAGTACTTAATATAAATAATATATAAAAGAAATTATAAGGGAGACTATTCATACCCCCAAAGATAAAATTTTGGGTCTCGAATAGAACCCCCATGACTAAAATCAAATAGTATATCAATCACATGCATGATTAAGAATAAGGAAGAGGAAACGTAATGTACAAAATACAAAACATAATATACTCATTACAAAAAAGGGCTGATGGATTTTCATTTTTTTTCAATTTGATGTTTTTCAGATTTTTTTTTCATTCTATTTGACATAAGTTAAAAATTGGACTTTAATTGTTAACAGACTCAAACACAGTGACTAAAATCGGAAAATTAAAACCACAGTGACCAAGTCTGTTTTCAGGTCAAAACACAGTGACCAAAAATGTGTTTTACCCTAACTATACAAGTGTCTCAATATACTAACACAGTTGGTGCAAAATGCTGATACAAATGCATAAAAATTTACAGATTCCATGGATAAACTTGCAGCATGTAGGTTGAATATGGAAACATAACCAAGAAAACAAAATTCATAACAAGAAACTTTTTCTGTGCTGAACATCTATGCTGTATGGCAAATAATCATGTTCAGAGTTTCATACCATTTGTAGCCGCCAACCTCAAAGGCATTACTACGAAGTTCTCTTTTGTTAATCTGTGAAAATTTCTCTATCTTCCATGTATATTTTCCATATAACTCAGACGGTTTGGGCCCTATAAAGAAGTAAGATAGGTTTGTGAACTTTTAACAAAATAATCATAATAAAATTTGAAAGCAAAATCACTCCCTAGTATAGATGATATGGAAAATATACAGTAAAAATTATTTCTTGCAATGGATTAAATGAAGATTAAATTCTCACTCCATGTGGGTGTGATAGGCAAGTCAGAAATGCAATACACCAAAGGAAAAATGAAAGCAACATATAGAGTCAGTAATTTGGGGAAATATAACATAGTATGAAACTAATTCCATGCAGAGACGAGCACTCAAAAGCATTTTCTGAACTGAAACCCCCTCTATTTTCAAAATAACACACCTCACAACATGTTTCAAGTAGAAAAGAAAACATAAAGCGGAACAGGTGTACTTTTGAAAATATCAAATATTTAAAAATTCATATGGAACAAATTCTCCAGCCCTTTTTTTGTCAAACCAAGCAAAGCATTGGCAAAAGTGGAGCGCACACACACACACACACTCTCTCTCTCTCTCTCTCTCTCTCTCTCTCTCTCTCATTGTCTCTCTAGGACAGCCAAATTGACCTCCCACTTGAGGTGATTTGGATAAACACCCAAGAGAACTTCTCCAACATTTTCACACAAGGTTAACAAACTTCAAGAAAAAGGGTTAGGCATATCCTCTTTTGATGATGCAACATGTGCATAAAAACTTAAATATGACCAAGGCAAATGTATTTGAAAGAAAATGGCAAAATCACTTGTAGAGAAACCATAAAACATTGGCAGCTACATTTCCCACAATCCAAATCCAAGTACATATCATTCTTTTTATGCATTGAGTTCCACAAGCCCGGTATTTGATTGAAAAAAAAAGGATCACACAAAACAAGGCATTTAGCATATAGTGAATAAAAATTATACCACCGTCGTCGTCGTCGTCAGAGTCCCAATAAGGGGGCGAAGTAGATGGGGTTCCATTTTCCACCTGCTCAGAGGACCGCCATTCAGCTAAGGCTTCCCCAGACAGGCAGCGCTGCCCACTTGAAATCCCCTCCATAGACCTTCCCACTCCAGAATCTTCACTAGAAATCCCAGCCATTTCCCACTCCAATATTCCTGTCCTCACACTCCTTCAACCTTGCTCACTAGATAAGAAAAACAACCCGCCAACAAAAAATTTATCAACATTAGGATTTCAACCCCCAATCACATGAAAAAAAGAATGTGCACACTACAAGCCATTTTCCTGGTACCAAATCACACCTTAATGCTAAAAACCCAAAAATAAAATGTCGATTACATCCCAAAGATACATGCATCACAACTTTTTGATTTCAGGGGTAAATTGTAATTAAAATTGACAAATTGAAAAACCCTTCTGTCCGGACTGGTTGCTAGTAAATGCAAGGAGAAGACCGTAAAATTTATAATAATAATACATTATTTAATTGGGACCTGACTGAACAAAATTCTCAACTCCACTGACTAATTAGCTAAGATGATGACAGTTCTACAGCAATCAAGACTCAAAACGACATAGAACGCAAGAAATAAGAAACTTAATTTCAACTTTTTTTCAATGATTTTCTCTGGAACCAAACAGCTTATGAGTTACCATTCCCTAAACCAAAAACCCACATCAGAAAAACCAAATATCAATAAACCCTAAAACGGAACTTCAAATACTTGAAGAAACCAAGCTGAATTAAAACCAAACAGATTGAAAGCAAAAAATTCTTTAATCAAAAACCCTAAAAAGTCAGAACCATTTTGATGAACCCAATTGCAGGAAACTCAAGCCCAATAGAAACCCACAATAATCTGAACCAATAGAACTAAGATCGCGGATAATCAATCACCTTTAAACGCGATCAAATAGAAACCCTATTGAAACACAGAGGCGAAAATAAAAATTAAAGAAGAAATACAAAACGGAATCTCCTAAAGGACATCGTATAGATCGAATAGTAATACGAACCTGCAACGAAGACCAGAGCTTATTCACAATGGCCAACGGAAGCTCTGAGATTCTAGAGAGAGAGAGAGGAAGAAAGAGAGAAAAAGAGAGAGAGGGGTCGAAGGAGCAGCAGAGAGAGATAGAATTGAGCAAAGGCGGAACCCAAAAAAGAAAATCTAATTTTATTTAATTTAGGTTTTTTCAATTTTCATTTTATGGATTTTTTTTTTTTTTTTTTTTTTTTTTTTTTTTTTGGGTTTTGTTTTGTTTGAGGAGGTGGAGAATGGAGATATAGAAAAACAAAAGGGATGGTGCTCTTCTCCCTCTGTTATTATAAGAACCAATTTTATGCGAGAATCAAAAGGATTTTGTACTCGAGAAAAATAAAATTCACGAGCAACAATTTGAAGGAAAAAAAGAGGGGAAGCGGTCGCGGTGCGGAGGCTTATATAGGGTCGGTGACGAATGCTGCCTAGAGTAGTTCCTTCCATGTTTTTACACTAGGCATGGAGCTTCGTTCACTGGCCTTGCACCTTGTGGGACCCATTTTTCTCTTATTTAGGTTTGGGTGTATAAGGGCATGTTTAGTAATTGGACTAACGAGTAATCGGACTAATTAGGAAATAGAGTCAGTCATATGCATACCAATTAAACTGTTTACTAACTGCTGAAATCTAAATGAAAATAAAATGATTCGCATCAAAACCAATTATTATTGTGAAGAATTAGAATCAAAACCAATTTGATTATTAAAATATCTTTGTACATAACAAATTCTATTTTGTTCAACTACTTGCACAAAAACCTTAGCCGCTCTCTTCCTCTGTGAGTCCTAAAGGAAAATTTCAGAGAGGGGGAGGAGGTTGAAATGTCACTGCCCATCATCCTCCTCTTCTATTCTCGTCTTTTTCTTTTAGGTTAGTGAATAAGTCCACTGGAACGTTTTGAATAAAAATCCTCTTATGGTGGTTACTTCTAAGCCATGGTCAAATTGAAGTTCCTTATCACTCCTTTTAGTTTATGTTCTCAATCAAATCCTACTCTCAAAACCCGCTCCTAAATGCCACTCATGTTCTTTAAATTTGATTCTTCATCTTTTTTATGGAGGTTGCCGCAAATCACCCAATTGTTCTTGGCAAAGTTGTTGTTTTCGTTTATTTGTTCGCTCTTATGCGCAGGTAGATCGCTTGAAATCATATTTTCCTCATATATGTTACGGATGAAATTGTCGATGTAGTCACGACGACGCTTCTTCAAGTGGTGGTGGTAGGGTTCTTTTAGGCTCATAGGTTGATTTAGGGTTATGTTGGCTTTGTTTGGGCTTATGACTAATTGAGGTGATGTGGGCTAGTAGTTTAACTGCAGCTTTTGTCCGCGTTAGTTTTGATTTTAGCATGTTAGTTTGTTGCCCTTTTGGTATTGGTATTTTAAATGTCTTGATGATGTCTTTGATTGTACCGTTGAAGTTTACCTAATGAAGTTTCTATTTGATTAAAAAACAAAACTACTTGCACAATTTTTCAAATGAACAAAATTGTGTTATCTAAGGGGGGATGTATTCAATTAGGATTATAAAGCGTTTAAAAAGATTTTTAAAATTCGGTTGTATTTAATTTGGATTATACAAACTTTAAGGGCACGTTTACGTATCAATAATGGGTATGGGAGGAAAGGGAATGATTTCCATTCCTGACTTCTCCTGCGTTTACTTGCAATTAGGAATGAAAAAATAAGTGGGCCCCACCTCAAAATCCGTAATCACATCCCCTCATAACTAAGTATCAGATCAACTAGGGGGAGTAGTCGATACGATTCTCATTCATGTTTTCTCTTAGTAACTTCTAAAAATACCATTACCACTTTACCATAATTCCAAAATACCCCAAACCCTAAAAAAAATAAAAACTCACGCGAAGAAGTTCCAAGACGCTCCAACCCTAAAAATAAAAATAAAAACTCATTTCCAAGAAGTTCCATGCATTTAATGTATGAATAGTACGCAGGTTATTATTATTTGATTGTTTACTAGTTACGTAGTTGCAAGAAATATATATTTATTGGAGTTTTTTTTTTTTTTTTGAAATTAGCTCTGGAGAAAGGCATTATTAACATTATCATTGAACTAGGCTCTTGATGTTCATCTTGTTCAACATATTGATTCCTCATGTTAGCACCGCCTTACTGGTTTGCTACAGGATTAGTTTGGTCTCCTTAGCCAATTTGAGAATTATATATGTGATGTGGTGAAAATGTGCAAGGCATTTCAGTAATCAAATTAATTTGGTTCTGATTCATGAAAATTAGTAAACAATAACAACAGAAATCAACCTCATTCCTTTGCTAATTCCATATGTTTAGTAAACAGTTTAATGGGAATGATTCTTCCTATACCGATTCAGTTGTTCTCCGATTCCTAATTCTCTTATTCCTTACTTTCTCTATTACTGATACGTAAACATGCCCTAAAAGAGGTTTTACAAGTTTAGGTGTATTCAATTCCAACTTGTATGAACATTTAAAAAGTCCATTCAAATATGGGTGTATTCAATTCGGATTATAAAAAACTTGAATCAAATCTAGGTGTATTCAAAAGGTCATATATTTGGAAGGATTTCATTAAGTGATAAATTTTTGTAGGTTTTAAGGGAAGAGCTATAAATAACAAAGACCATAATAAATCCAACCTCCCCTCCCCCCCCATTTCATCAGAAGTTTTTCTCTTGCCCTAGCTTTTCTCTCTGCAACAGAAGACGAACAGCCTCCTTCCTCAATCTGTAAAGGTATGCTCCCTATTTTTTCTTTGATCAATACCTCGTTGGATTTTCTTTTTCCATGATTTTTCTTCATCGTGTTTTTCTTGTTATTAGGGTATAGTTTGGGGTTACAGGTTTTACTTGTAATTAGGGTTATGCTTGGGGTTAGGGTTTATGCTTTGTTACTAGGCCCATGATTTTTCGTCACGGTACGATATCACAAAATGTCTTAGCAGCTTGTAACTTTGATTTGGAATTCATATATGTCCTTAGTGGGTAGGAGGGCTCAGCTCACAATTCAAGAGTACTACAAGATGCTTTAACAAGGAGGAATGGACTTAAAGTGCCACAAGGTATTTTTAAATTTTTTCATTTATAGTTTACATTAGGTCATACATTGGATACTAACATATATGTAATCTATTATCAGGTAAATTTTTCTTGGTGGATTGTGGATTCCAAATCGACGCCAATTTTTGGCTCTATTTCGAGGTGTTCAATATCATCTCCAAGAGTTTGGTGGTCAAGGTCATGCACTTGCAAATAAAGTTGAGTTGTTCAATCTTCGTCATTCATCCTTGAGGAATGTCATTGAGAGGATATTTGGTATATTTAAGTCATGATTTAAATTTTCAAGTCAGCACCTCCATTCATATACAACACAAACAAATATAGTGTTAGCTTGTGTCGGACTATACAACTTTCTTCTAAAAGTGTGTAGATCTGATGAATTTCCTGTTGAATTAGAGAACGAATCTTCTTCATCTTTATCGTTACCCGTTAATAAAGGAGATCCTGAACTAGTTTTCCAAACACAAGAGCAGCAACGACAGAATGCTAATGAATAGAGAGTTGGTATAGCTTTGGATATGTGGAGAGATGCTGGGCACAATGACAACAATGCGAATCAAGGAAAATGAATGAATGTTAAATATTTTCCTTAATCTTTTCTTTCAAATTTGTAATACATTTGTCACTATGTTTCTTATGAATTTTGCTTTTCATTAAACATGATTTTATTTCATGTTATTGAAGAAAAAGATGTTATGAATTTGGTTTTTTTATTTCATGTTGTTTAAAATTTTATTTCATGTTGTTCAATTAACATCAATGTAATCTTAAGAAAGTTTATTAAAAAATCATATAAAAGTCTTCTGAAAGTCTATCAAGTTCTATACGAATTCTAAAGTTCCATCAAGTTCTATGAAATCTGGCATTTAAACAAAATCTTTTTAAACGCTCTAAAATCTTTTTATCAAGTTATATGAAGTCTATCAAGTTCTATGAAATCAACTTTATATATATAGGGCTGGCTTTGGGCCTGGGCGTCGAGGGTGACAGCCATGGCCCCAACAAATTTTTATATATAACGATTTGGGCTTTTATTTCCAATATTTTCCTAACATTAACATTCCAACTAAAAATGAATGCAAATTCTTTAGGGCCAGTTTGACATTGTTGTGCTGTGAAAATAATCACTGTCAGATTTGCTGTGAGAGAAATCATTTGTCAAATAAACCAGTTTGGTGTTTGGGAAACTTTTTGTTAAAAGTGATATTGGTACAATAATCAGTTTTTGAGTATTTGGTAATTTTTGTGTGAAAGTGTTGTAAGCTGTATATAATGACTAAAAAGAACATTATGGTGAAATAGCTCTTCTATTCAAGTGTTTAAAACTCTCTGCTTAAATAATGAAATTATTTAGGGGACTAGTCTATGGTTTGAAATGGAGCATCTAATTAAAAACCATAATTTTTTTTTCTTTTTACTCAAGCTATTGTTATCTTTGTAGTATAAAATGAAATGAGTTGGGTTTCACTCTCTCAAGCCTTTTCTAATTAAAAAAATAATAATAAGAATTTGGTTTTTAACAAGTATGAACAAGGAATTGTCTATTTAAATAATCGAATTATGGGGTCCATATTGGTTTTTGAGTCACCTTTAAGAAAAGCATTTGTTCAATGAAAAAACCTTTACCATTCCATTTCTAAAGATTATTCTTCATCAGTAAGATGCTAACAAAGGGAACGAGTCATGGCTGCTTTATCTCACTCATTTACAATCATTCTGTCTTCCAGTTGTAATTGCCGAATCAGTAATCTCAAGGAAGATCACAAGGTCTATTTTTAGGGTTTCTCCAGAGAATGAGTGACTATGATATTGGTATTTCTAGAGTTTACAGGAAGAAGGATAATAATAATCTTGCCGATCTTTGTTATCATATCAGTTCGATTTGTAAATTGTACCATAATAAGTGAACTTCTCAAGAAGGAAACTGAAAAGAAAAATAAACCTAATATGTCTCTTACCTGAGTCTTTTAGCTTTTAAAGAAGGCTTCAATTGATCCAACAAGAAAAATTAAAGAACGAATGGAAGAAACAGAGAAGGGGGAGCTTAGATGAACGTGGAAGAGAGCAATGGGAAGGAAAAGACTGAAATGAGGAGAAGAGAGACGTGAGAGT